TTGCAGTAACTGCTTATAGATTTGTGAGGAGATAGACTGATAGAAATACTTCCCTTTGAAAAACCACCCGAAAACTTCAGTGAAGTGACCGTTTTCCAGGATGTGGCTCCTTCAAACAGAAATGTGTGAAACAAGAAACAAGCTGCAACTGGTGGTCTTCTCTTGGGAAGAGAGTAGGTCAGGGTGATAAAGACAGAAGGTGCTGAATTTCTCAAGTTCACCTTCATAACAAATGTTCTGAGAAGTTGGAGATCTCCAGTTTGTAGTGATTGGAGCAGTCAAGTTACTGTGGGTTTGTCTTCCAGATCAAAGGAATGAAAGATCGCCTGGAGTTCTGGTGCACAGATGTGAAAAGCATGGAGATGTTGGTGGAGCATCAAGCCCATGACATCCTGACATAGAGGACCTTGCACTATCCTGGGAGAGGAATTTCTACTGCTACTGATGCTAGCAGCACTCAGACCACTGACTCTGTACTGAATTATATTGAAGGGGGGTGGGTGGGCGAAGGGGAGAGCAGCTTTATGATACGTGTTCGGAGGAGTAAGTGGCCTTTTGCTGTGTAACCCTTTGGTGCTTGGAGTCAAGATTTCCCTATGCGCTAACATTAGTGGCACTGACCATGGGAGCTCCCATCCTGCTCTCGAACAAAGAGGTCAAAGGCTCCGTGGTGGCTGATCTATCAGTCCTGCTGTCAAACTGTGGGAGGATGTGAATACTCATTGCATGTTACAGGAGTGGAGGCTATTTGCCCGCTGAGGGGGTAGCAGAAGCTTCTCTATAAAATGTGCTAGAGAGGTGCCTGACCATTGTATGTGGTGTTGGCCTTAGGAGGGCATGACCTTCCCTGGTACCCTCTCCCTCCCTGCCCTGCAGCAGCCTGAAGGCAGCTTTATCAAAATCATTTCTACTGCCCTCTTTCTCCACAGTCCCTCCTCTTCATTTGCAGTAGAGGGAGTGTTTGCTCCATCAAAGGGTTTTTTCCAGGATTACCATTCAGTGGATTTGGTTTTATATACTTCTGGGGGTGGTTGTCTTTTACGAACACTTTGTGCTAAAGTGAATTGCAGCAGTACTGCTGGAATAAACTACTCTGCCTTCCCTTTTCTGTAGTTCTGTAGTGCTTCTTTTGTAGTTGGGTCTCTGGACTGGTTACAAATACGCTTCCTTTAGAGTTTTGTATTTAAAAGTCAACAACAAAATAACCTTCTTCCCAGAGCAGTGCAGGTTGAATTAGTCTGTGAGTCACCAGCAGCATGTGATTCATTGAGTATGTAGAACTTTACTACGCACAGACTTTATTTTCAAGTTTTTTTTTCTTTCTGGGAAGATGTCTGATGCCTTTTCTCAAGGAAGTATCACTGCAAAGGTCTGAGGAAGGCCTAAGATTGTCACTTCCTTGTGATTTTGGGGATTTAGTTTGGTGGTTGTGTTTTTTTTTGTTTTTTTGTTTTTAACTCTTAACAACTTTTAAAACTTCCCATGATTTGTTTCACTCTACTGTTGCAGATGTGATTATAAAGACAGAAAGTGATTGCACATCAAGAGTGTGAACCAAGCTTGAAAGGGAGCTGTGTCCAAGTAATCATTTGGATGCACAGTACTTCATAATACATAGTAGAATAATTGAACAGTGGTGTAATAGCAAGATTTGTAACAGTAATTTTAAACTGAGCAGGGCCATGTTAGTGTAACTGGATACTTTTTTTTAGGATTTAAATTGTTTGGTTTTGTTTTTTAAGTGCTGCTGCTGCCTATGCAGCCACGGGTAGTTTTTCTTTCAGTGATAGCCTGATTGCTGCTGTGATTCAGGTGCCTTATGTGGCATTTTGATTCTCTGATGATTAAATATGCTGCATTACCAGTACAGAAATGTTGATCCTTATGATGCTTTCTCAAGGTTGATGTCTTGACTCTGGGTTTAATGCCAGCAACTGGAAAAAGAATGTGGCTGATGCTATGCTGCTGTGTTGGTGCTAGGATGTCTTGGACAAGGAAGAATTAAGCTTTGAAAAAAACAACAAAGCCAAAATTGTTGAACCCTACATCTAGTTGTGCCCCACCCTTCTCCCTCTAATCAGATTTGTTCCAAATTTCCTCTTGTTTCAGGGTGACTCAGTTCTGAATGCCTGCCCCTTCCATTGTCCATTGCCCCCTAGTCCGTTGCTGTTATGTTTTGATCTGCCCTGCCAACTGAGCTGTCAGATTGTGTGGCATCAGGAAAAGAGAACAAACCCATTTTCCTGCAATGGAGCACATGGTCCAAGAAAAACCAGCAGAGCCAGATGTTTCATGCCAACATGAGTTTTAATGAACATGCTCAGAGGGTTCTTCCCTCAGTGTAGACTCATTCTGTGGTCTCAGTTCTTCTCCTCAGTCTGCTCTGCTCCTGTAGTGCTTCACATGGGCCAGGACCCAGGCTGCAGGTCCCAGCAGGCACGTGAACATCACAGTCATCGCAATGGCTTGCTCCTGCCAGTAGGAAAGGGAAGAGAGGGATTAGTGAGGAGATTGCACATGTGGGATTTCAGGATGATGGCACACTGCATTAGACACTGTACTAATCTGATGCACTTCTTGCTCTTTCTGGGCTCAGATGAATGCCCTTGGGGGCTGCAGGAGGAAGTTTGGGTAAGCCCTGCAGCTCCCTCCAGCAGCAGCTCATGCTGGCCACTCTGAGTTGATTCCTATTGCTCTGTCTTTCTCAGTCATACATTGGCTGGGGAATCAGAGCGACTGGTGGCTGTCAGTCAGCAGCGGGACCCAGGCCTGGGCTCACAGCATTGCTGAATCAGCCGTGCCTGACTTTCAGATGACTTTGAGAAGGGACAAGCAGCCTGCAGAGGTCTCTACCATTCCTGGCACACAAGGGCAGCACTTACCCCCTTGTGCTGTCCCTTTTATTTCTTATTCACCTAAAAGAAGAGATGGGGCTTGTGGAGCAGCTGTCTCTCCTGAGAGTGGCAGACCTTGAAAAGACAGATTGGGTAAACCTACCAAGCCAAGGCTGCTGGTGAGAACTATCCAGGATTTCTGGCATAGGGTTCCTTCTTCCTACCTCCTCTTACCTGGCCCAGGAAGATCCCTGCAGCTGCTGCTTGGGTGGGGGGGTAATCCCCACTGCAGAAGGAAGGAGTGATGCCAGGACCCACCCCTGCCCTTGAGAACAGCTGCTGTGGGAGTGAGTGTCCCCTGAAATTGGTGTTGGGGGGGAGGGGTAATAGGACATGGGGCTGCCCTGTACTGGTGGGGGACCACTGCCACCTTCTTCCTGGTACTTTCAGGCTTCTTAATAGGGGGATCCACTTTGGCTGTGCCACTGAAAGTTCCTTTTTACTCCCACTTCCAAACACACAAACCTTGCTTTAAATTCCAAGAAAAGCATTGATCTGTGACCCCAGCTACTTCCCTCTCCCCCATCCCCTTACTGTTGCTTGCAACACCCCCACCAGCTACTTACAGCAGGAGAGACAGGGTGCTCGGGTGGCTTGGAGGTGACCCCAGCCCGGGGGACCCTCTGTGCCTGCAGCAGTGCAGCCAGCAGCCGGGAGCCCCTCTGGAAGCCCTGCATGGTGCTGACACGCTGAATGCCTTCTTGCTGGGCTGCAGCTGCGTGCCCTGTTGCTGTCACCACTGGGCACAGGGCCCAGGGCTCTCCTGAGAGCTGCAGGGGCCTGTAAATGTCAGGATCTTCCTAAAGGGCTCTGTTTTCATCCTTTGCCTGGAATCTTTCCTCCTTTCCTCCTTTTTACCTCCAGCTCCAGGGGGAAGAAATAGGGCACCACAGAAAGGTCTCCGGCTGGAGAGCAAACCTATTTTGGGGAGGTTTTCTTGAATCCATACAATTGCAAAATGCATCCTTGGAGTGATGCAGATCTAATGCCTGAAAGCACTTGTCCAAATCATGGCTTCTCTTTCTTCTCTTGGGGCCCAATGGATGCACAGGCTTATAATTGCACGCATGCGGGTGTTTGCATAGAATCTTACCTCCCCTTCCTTTTCCAACCCTAATAACTCTGTGCCTATCAAGTCCAGCCATCAACCCATCATCACCGTGCCCACTAAACCATGTCCCTAAATGGAATCACTAAGATTGAAAAAGACCTCACAGGTCACCAAGACCAACCATCAACACATCACTACCATACGAGCTAAGCCACGTCCAAGTGCCTCAATGTAGTATTGTCTGTCCTGCAAGTTGTGGACTGTCAAAGCTGCCAGCTGAAGCTTTCTTCTTGCCCTGACCCTGCAGCAGAAAGGGTTGGAAGGCTCCAGCCTGGCTCTTGCCCCCATGGTGTGCAGAGGGAAAAGTCGCGTCCTTTCCATTTGACGTGTCCCTGCTTTGCTGAATAACCCGGCTTTGTTCTCTCCTTACAAACAGCTCCATAGAAGGGCTGCCAGCAGTCATAGAACTGGGAGTGCTGCTTTGCTCTCTGTGACCCTATTCACAGCTCCCAAAACTCTGTGGTGCAGATGGGGTTGGGGTTGGGTGCCACTTCTGAAGGGTTTGCTTCCGATGGCAGCTTTGAGTCAGGTATTGGCTTTTGATGGATTTGCAGCCCGTGGAACAGCTGTGCAGTATTTACTCCATCAGCATAGGATTGATAATTGTCTTGAAGCAGCAGCCCAGAGGCAGGGGGTTGCTAGGAGAGGCCCAGCATCTGGCTGCTGTGCTCTCTGTGTCTCTGTTCTCCCACAAGGAACCGACCTTAGATCTTTCTGCTCAATGAGATTTGTTTGTCCCTATGAGTGCCACATGGGCTGTGCTCTCACTCTCGTTTGATGGAGTGCAAATGCACATCTGCAGAGAAGTGCTCACCTCCTTTTGCTGAAGGAGATGATAAGGGATGAGTTTCGGGCATTGCAGCCTGTCAAGCCTATACCAGCATGCAGGGGCTGGGAATTGAAATCAGGGTGAGAAGCCCTCCTGTACTCTGCCTGTTTGTGGGGTTTAAACAACGTCCAAAGGCACTGGAGTTGGAGGAATGGGGATGGATGGTGCCTGTGCCTTTATCATGCTGCAAGTCAGGGAGGGGTCCTCCAGCACCGGAAAGAATTGCAATGCTAGCACAAGTTCAAAGACTGGAAACTTACACAGCAGTAAATCTGGGAGATAAAGCCTGGCTTTTCAGCAGGTAAGCAAGAGGGTCACAGCCTGGTCAGAGACAAAGGGTGGCTCTTGTCAGTGATTGCTTATGTTGATGATCCCTTAGGGAGTGTTACTGTGGCTCTCTGCCAGGAACGCAACCGTTGCTGCATTTCCTGGATTGCTTTTGCCTGACCACTTTTCTCTTTCGGTTCCTCCCTGCACAGTTCCATGCTGAGCGCAGTTCCTGTGAGCAAACCCACGTTCCAGGATCAAGGTTGTTTGATTTTGCTAATAAGGAAGGGGAGGTAAGAAAAGCAATTTCCTTCTTCCTCTCTGTGTTGAGCAACTTCCGCTGTTCCCTGTGCAGGGCCCCACGGCAGCAGTTTTCACCCGAAACGCAAGGCAAGGCCTCACCCGCACACCTCCCACACCCTTCACTCCCCAGCAGGCAGGAGGAAGGCTTTCCTCGCCATCCAACCTCCTGACACCAGCAGACTGTGCTTACCCCGTGAGCTTTGGGCTGTAGCCAGCCTATGTCCCAGCTCTGCTTGCAGAGCCCATCCATGTCCCACTTCTGTGGTTTTTGGTGTTATTGCAGTGCCGAGTACCCCCAGTGCTGGTTACAAGGCGCTGTGCGTATGTTTGTAGAGATGTACCCAAAAATTCATTAATTATACAGCTCCTGCCTGATAACATGCTGAGCTGGAGATGAGGTGTAGGAGCAGTATGAGGATAAAGGATAAATGAATACTTGATAATGTTGGGAGGAAGGTGGACATGTGATGGGATGTGTTGGGAAAAATTGCTGAGACCCTGACCTGAAGAGGGCAACAGAAGAGGGGAAAAACTGGAAAAGCAACATAAGAAATGAGCATGTGAGGTTTGGGTAAGGTAGGCAGGTCACCTAGAGATGTCTGAAGCTTCACAAAGGGAAATGAGCTTGTGTGCAGCAGACCCACCTGAGACAGTGGAAGGAAAGCTGGGATGGAGGAAAGCCACGGGATGGAGGCTCTGGTGGGAACCATTGGCAATGCCCTGTCCAACCCACCTCTGATTTTTTATTGTCTTCTTTTTCCTTTAATTTTGCAGCTTTGCCTAGTGATGGCTGATGGCGAGGAGGACCCTGCTGTGTTCACCTCTACTTGTTTGCCCTCCGACCCACGGCTCCTTGCTACAGTGACCAATGCTTACCTGGGCACACGTGTCTATCGCAACATCCTTCATGTCAATGGTGTGTACAATGGGGCGGTGGGGAACACACATCGTGCTGACATCCCCAGCCCAGTCAATGTGAAGATGACAGCACCTGATGGGGATGTACCTGTTGAGACCTTCACCTTGAACACACGGACAGGTAAAGAGCAATACGTGAGCAGAATATCTTTCTGTTGTTAAAAGATGTTTGGTCAATAAACTCAGTAGTTTATGAAGAAATTGGATGAACTGTAGCCTAAATTTCATTGATTCTCATAGGCATCCAACTGCAGATGTTGTTCAGATGCAGGCATTTGTTTTATTGACATCTAGTGACTATGTTAGGTGAACTCCATTACATGTTTCTAACAGTTTTTTCTCTTATATTTGGACAGTAGCCAGCTCTGATCTTGGTAGAACATTGGGAAGTATAACTGGGAGAATGGTAAGGAGGGTGTTTTTGCTCATCCTTCTGTGAGGAAGGTATTTGGCAGATTTCAGGTCTGAGCTGCATGGAATACTAAGTAATCTCTAAGTAATGCAGCGGACATAGCATGAGGAAGGCCTTACTTTCCCATATTATTCCTTTAATTTGGTGTTGGAGCAAGTGGAGAAAAGAGCTAGCAAATTTGAGACCATGTTCCAGCCCCTGCTGGTGCTAAGCTCAGCAAATGCTGCTCAATCACAAAGCTTAGTAAAATATATAATGGCACAAATCACTCCTCATCAGCTTGGTCAAGTTAAGGGTGTTAACAGTAATGCCCAGTCAAGACTTGTTTTTGGATCTGGACCTGGGAAAGACAGTTCCATTGCCAATAGGAACTGGTAGAACTGGGAGGCTAAAGCAGAACATCAGAACCCAATGGTTAAAAAGGCTCTTGCTGCACTTACAGGAACCTTCAGCCATAAGCTTCAGTCACCCAATTATACAGCCACACACAGGATCTATGCTCACCATTCCCTCGTCCACCTAATGGCCTTCAGCATCACCATCCGGCGATCAGCTGGCATCAGCCAGCCCATCACTGTGCAGCTCCAGACTCCTTTTGTGCCAAAAAGCCAGGACTTGGACCTGCAGGAAGGACCAGACTTCCAAGGAGCATAGTGAGTATGGACCAAGAGCTTAGCTCTGAGCGAGTCCTGCCTAAGCTATATCATGTTGCTTTGCTCAAACTGAAAACATACAGCTAGAGCTAGAATGAAATGGTAACTATCATTGAGGTTTGTGCATGTCTGCTTCTTTTTGTCAGGCAAGGCAAAAAGAATTAAATATAGAAATAGTTTTTATTAGTTGTGACTCTGAAATTACTACTTATGCTTACGTGTGAAATGGCATTAGAGACCACAGAGGCTACACGTGGCTACAAAGAAATGAGTTCGGAAAAGATAGTGATCTTGAAGGAGACAACCTTTAAACATGGCTTCCGTGAGGAAGCTGTAATCAGTCTTCATCTGATGGGAACAGGGGAAAGATACTCAGCTGCTAGGGGCAGTTCAACCTGCACCGCTGCCCTGCAGAGCGGTGGGTGCCCCATCCCTGGAGATGCCCAAAGCCGTGCTGGATGGGGCCTTGGGCAACCTGAGCTGCTGGGGGGCACCCAGCTCATAGCAGGTTTGGGGTTGGTGGGCTTTGAGGTCACAGAATCTCAGAATGGCCTGGGTTGGAAGAAACCTCAAGGATCATGAACCTCCAACCCTCCCTCCACAGGCACCAATAGTCACATGTAATACTAGACTAGGCTGCCCAGGGCCCCATCCAACTTATCCTTGAACACCTCCAACCCAACTCCAACTCCTCCATTTCAACATGGTGTAAGAAGTGGAGCTAGTTAATACTGGAGCTTATTGCTGCAGATGTTTGATGGAAATAGAGGGCAGAACTAACTCCTCCTGGGTCACTTCCACCCTAATAGTTCTGTGGTTCTATGTGCACAGTGCTTTGCTCTCCCTTTCCCCATTCCTCACCATCTCCTGCAGCTACGTCTATGGGCAGACACTGGTTCCTGAGGTGGAGGGGGGACCCCAGCCCACTGTGCATATGCTCTGGACTCCTGTGCCGCGAGCTGTCACCTTGCATGAGGAGGAGCAGGAGCGAAGCTGGGAGTTCCTGACGGCTGTGGCTGAGAGTGAGGAGGAGGCCAAGAAGAGCTACAGCGAAGGGCTGGCACACGTGGCAGCTGGCTCCCTGCACTCCTCCCATACCCATGCCTGGGCTGCTCTGTGGAGAGGGTGCTGCGTGGACCTGGAAGGCCCACTGCCTTTGAGACAGGCCCTCTATGGGTGTCTCTATTACCTGCTGAGTGCCATCCCTCCCCAAGATACACCGGGATTCCTCTTCCATGGCATCAGCCCTGGTGGCTTGTCCAATGGCACACGGGGCGAGGACTACTGGGGGCACATCTTCTGGGATCAGGTGGGTTGAGGCAGTGCTGGTGTTTGCTTGGGGGCTGTGAGGAGTGACTGGGGTAGAGAGGCTCAGCATGGGACTGCTGGTCTCCTTACTGGCAAAAGGGATGTTTGGCAGTGGTCTCTTGTAGAAGAGCATCCTTCTCCTTTGGAAACACCTACTGAGGTCCATCTTCATCCATAGAGCCCCTGATTCCTTTGTCGACTTAAAATCTGAAGCACAGATTGGGTTGCTCACACAAGAAAGGCTAATGCAAAAGGATCTTCAGTTTAGAATACGGTCACCAAAGAGTAGAGTAGAGTAGAGTAGAGTAGAGTAGAGTAGAGTACGGTCACCAAATTTTTGCTTCTTTAAATGAATTGACACCTGCCCACCTTCTCCCTGTGTTGGTGGCAGCAGTGAGCCTTGTTGTGCCCAAACTACTGTAAGAACAGAAATATTTTTTCTGCTATGGGCATATTCTGCTTTTCAAGTTAAGTTTGGTGTGTGCTCAATAAACAAGTTGGTCTGGGAGGCTTTTCCCCAACAAGAGGCTTGGGTTTGCTCTCAGCGCAGCCACACAAAATGAGTACAAACAGCTCTGCAGTTGAATATTTCATGTGTGATGTGAACAGGAAGGACAGCTGGATGGTGCTGAAACTCCTACCTAGTCTGGTCTTTCAGTGGGCAAGGGCTTTTCAGTCCTGTGGACCTTGTTGGCATTCTTCCTGGCAACATGTGGTTTTGACCCGTCAGATTCTCCGGCCTCCCTTCTCTAGCATGGCAGGAGATCTTTCTGGGCTTATCCTAGTGAGATACCAGGGAGGTGACTGGCAGGGAATTGAAGGCATGGGCACCTGGATGCATCTGTGATGGTAGAAACAGTCCCTCATGAATTGGACACATCTGACAGCATCCTTAAGTAGTGGCATAGTCATGGTCACAGCATTCACCACCGGGGGTGGACAGCCAAATGCAGGAGCATTTGGCTGCCCTACCAACCCATCTTACCACTTTGCTTTGCCTGCATGTTTCCAGGACACCTGGATGTTCCCGAACATCCTGCTGTTTTATCCCAAAGCTGCCCGAGCCATCTTGGAGTACCGGATTCGCACACTGGAAGGAGCTCTACTCAATGCACAGGAACAAGGCTATGAGGTGGGGGTGGAGATGTGGAGCTGAATGTCACCCAGAAGGATAGTCAGGCTTTCCTTGAGCCAGGGGCTGTGAGCTAGGTTTTGCCTGCATGTGGTAGACCAGGATGATTGTTTCAAGATGTGCTCAGTTGCTCCATGGATGTCTTCTCCCAACAGGGTGCCAAGTTCCCATGGGAGAGCGCAGCTACTGGTCAGGAGGTCTGTCCTGAGGACATTTATGGAGCCCAAGAAATTCACATAACCGGGGATGTTCTGATGGCCTTTGAGCAGTATTACTATACCACACAGGTAAAGGGAGTGTTTGTCACAGTTTAGACCCCATTGAATCTCCCTCATGCTCCCTGTCTTTCTCTGGCTTTGGCTCCTTCCAGGACCAGAAGCTGTTCAGGACTGATGGAGGCTGGGCGCTGGTGAAAGCCGTGGCTCAATACTGGTGCAGCAGGATGGTGTGGAGTGAGGAGGAGCAATGCTACCACATCCGAGGTACTTCTGAAGGGAAGGACTTGAGCTTGGACCTAGGGAAAAACACACAGTTAATAACTTAAAGGTCGCATTGCCTGAAGTGAGGAAGGTGCTCTCAGGATAAGGTATCTTCTGCCTGATGATCTGCCCTTTCTCAGCTAAATCATACAATATCCTGGCTTATGAAGGACCACAAGGATCATTGAATTTGTTGAGATTTGTTAGTGATGATCACAGTGAGAATGCTTGGGCAGCATGTCTCCCTCTGCCCAGTGGTTGTAGAGAACCCACACCCACACTGTGGCAAAGAAAGGAAAGAGGTGAGGATGAGTGTTCTAAAATTATCAAAGCCAGGAGTGCATTTTGGGAAAGAATGGACCCCGGACCCCAAGCAGGGAATCATAGGTTGGAAGGAACCTTAAAGATCACTGAGCTCCAGCCCCCATCCATAGACTGGTTGCCCCCCAGCAGGCCGAGCTGCCCAGGGTTCTTGGGCTCTTCCAGGGATGGGGCACCCACAGCTTTTGGGCGTTTCTATGTTAATGAAGCCAAATTCATGGGAGGAATGGACACCTCAGTGGTTTTATTAAGAACTGAATCCATGGTGGGGCCTGTGGGAGCAGAACACCCAACATTGTCTTAGCTCAGAAGTAGGAGCTAGTTTTGGTTGAAAGGACTGTACTTTCATCAGGATACACTTCTGAGTCAGACCTCATATATCAAAAATACCAACACCTTTTCCCACCACACAAGTCAACGTGGGCAGTCATCAATACAATGGAGGTGTTCCTGTTCTTGTGCCACTTCCCTGAAACACACCTTGGGTGTGCTGCAGAGTGAAGTGTCCCCTTTGTCTTCCCTTCCTCCAGGTGTCATGCCCCCAGACGAGTATCACCACCAGGTTGATAACTCTGCTTACACCAATGCTGTGGCACAGAGGAGGTAATGCGCATGCCTTATTGAGGCTCTGGCCCATCTTTCTTCTCATCTGTCTAGCAGGAGGAGGAGGCAGCAAGCACCTTTCTTCTGGCACAATACTTCTGTCCAAGTTGGTCTCTTCTGCCTTCATCTGCATCAGCAGAAAGAAATAGGTTTCCCATGGGTTTCCATGAGGACACCTAATGACACATCTGATGTCTCAGATGTCTACATTAGACAGAGAGGAACTCCCCTTCTTAGCAGTGCTTGTCTCCTTGCAGCATGTGACGCCGAAATAATTAGTCATTTGGAGATTACAAGTCCCAGCAATGAAAGTTGTTACCCAAAGATTAGACTTTGATCCCATGTTCTTTCTAGGAAACTGCTTTTTTGCAACGCTCACTCTTTTCTTCCCTTTTTCCTCTTCCTCTCTCTCCAAGGGGCCCCAGCAACCCAAGCATGATGTGAAGCACTGTTCCTCACTTCTTTTCAGCTTAAATTTTGCAGCCAGCATTGCTCAGGACTTCTTGATCCCTGTGCCAGAGGAGTGGGTGGAATGTGCAAAGAAAGTCAAAGTGCCCTTTGATGCAGTGCGGAAATATCACCCTGAGTATGACGGTTACAGTCCAGGTGGGTAGAGGGGCATGCAGTTCAGAAGCCTGCCTCTTTCTTTTTAAGACAGGAAATGTGGGCTGAAACAAAAGAGCACTGGTTCTCTCAGCATTTGTATTGCCAGTACAGAGGACCTGATTTGCAGAGTTACTTTCTGCATTTTGGTGGATCCTTTCTCATTATAGGACTCATCTAATTAAGAATTTGGGGTACAAAGAGGATAGGCCTTGAGAGTTTGAGACACTGGGCTGCAGGCATCGTGGTGGCTATGAACCCATTGCTGACAGTTAGGTTTATCTTTCCAAAGTCAAGTGCTGCGTACTGAATGTCCTATAACCTCCGGTTACTGGAAGTCTGATACAAGAGGAAGAGCACGCCCAGCTTATTGCCCCTTTCCTCTGTGTCGTTTGCCTTAGTAAAGCAGTGCTGAGCTGTCTCCCAGCTCTTCAGAAGAGAGTTCCACCACTTTTCCACTGTGGTGTGGATTTTATTGGCCTAAGTTTATGATTCTGTGTCACATCCGTTCCCTCTGTGAGTTAATTATTTGTGGCAGGCATGTGGTCGGGCTCAGTTCTGATCCCTTCTCTCAGGTGAGCCTGTGAAACAAGCTGATGTTATCCTGCTGGGCTTCCCTCTGATGCACCCGATGCACCCTGAAGTGAGGAGGAATGACCTGGTGATGTATGAGCCCGTCACCACGCTGAGCGGGCCAGCCATGACCTGGGTAAGAGGAACTCACCCACAGTGTGGTCCTTTCTATCTGAGTCACTCAATACCGGTGGGCACTGACCCACTCTGCTCTCTCCTTCAGAGCATGTTTGCAGTGGGCTGGCTGGAGCTGAAGGAAACGCATAGAGCACAGTGCCAACTGAACAAGTGTTTCAGCAACATCACTGAGCCCTTCAAGGTCAGCTGCTGCCCCGTGGCCAGTGCCACTTGGTTCTGTCTTGTCTGCTCCCCAGTAGGGAGGCCCTGTCTCACTGACAGCACTTGTGGTCCCTCGGTTATTGGATTATTGTACTGAGCTAGGTGATCGCTCGCTCCATCTCTTCTGCACACTTCCAAAAAGAAGCCAGGACCCATCTTCTTCCAGTCAAGCAGCATAAAGCTGAAGTCTGTTATCATGGTCACCCTAGGATGCCCTCTGCCTGGGGAAGATGGGGAAGGGATGGAGATGTGGGACTTGGAGACCCATCAGAGCCCAGCCACCACCTTGTTCCATGATGAGCAGCAGGATATGATCATTGCAATGCCCCAGATATATGACAGCAACAGCAAGCATATACAAGCACCTTTAACTGTGTGAAGAGTCCCAATGCAACAGCTGACATTTTTCTTTTTGTTTCCTCTTCTCCCTGGAACAGATCTGGGTGGAGAACTCGGATGGGTCAGGAGCTGTGAACTTCTTGACAGGGATGGGTGGATTCTTACAGGCTGTCCTCTTTGGTTACACAGGGTTCAGGTGAGACTCCTGTGAGACTCTTGTTTAATTTCTACGCAACTATCAAGCGGCTGGAAAACTCAGTATTCCTGTTGCTTGTGGAAAAAAAAAAGGCACCTGCAGTAACTAGTGCAGAGCATCTGCTTTCTGCTCTGAATGAATTGCGCCGTTAATGGGTGAACTAGGGGTATTGGGATTGGCCACTGGTGTTCGTTTTGCATAACTCCCAGTGGTTGTGGATGTCACTGAGGGGACAGTTTGTGATGCTGCTGAAGCAGCAAGAAACCAGGGAAGATTATTTGCTGTTCTCACGCCAAAAGGCCAAAAATAAGATCTGTACAAAAGAGGATATGTCCTGCTGAGCCCCAGGAGCTGTGTGAGAAGGAAGCTGGTGTGCTGCTCAGATAATTTCAGACTCATGCCTCAGCTCTGGAGCAGCTGGGTGGTTTCAGTCCTGAAGCTGTAGCCACTGGAGTGTATTCTTAGAATTTAATTGAGGATGGATCAGACTGAAGAACCTTCTGGTTGCCAGCAAAGCCTCCTCGCCCTAACAGTGTGTTTTTACGCTGTGCCACTAGCTGAAAGCCTCAATCTCAGCTGTGCACAGCTCAGTGTCTTCAGAATGTGCTGTTGCATTCCGGTGCACAGCCCTCAGGGTAGGGTCTGGGAGAAAGGGTTCCTGTTTGCTACTTAAAGCTCTTCAGCCCAACCACCATGGAGCTGAGAGCAGATATTTGCTGATAGCTTTGCTGGTTTGTTTGTTCTTGATTTGGTTGGGTCTTGCTGAAGCTGAATGTGCATCCCAAAAACCCCAGCTGCAAACATTGTGGTGCTTTCCTGAGCTATCTGGGTGTTCTGTTGCTCGATTTTAGTATGTGGCCGAGAGCCCACACTTGCGCTTTATGTGGCTGCATTTCAATGGTGATTGCAGCCAGCTCTGCCTCCCACTGCTTGTTCCTGTACTCCTTCCCCTCCCCGTCCCAGAGCAGGGCATTCCTGACACTCTGCCAGCAGAGCTGCTCTAAGGTATCACCATAAGGCGAAAAAACATGGTGGATTTTGTGTGTGTGTGTAGTTTTTTTTTCTAAATCCAACCTCCAGACCACAAATTGAGGAAAAGAAACACCTTAGGGCACTGAGATGAGGGGTGACAACCCAAGTAGCCTTTCAACAGATGCTTGAAGATGTGGACGCCCCATCCCTGTGGCTTTGGGAATCCTAATCTGGTGCCATATTTAATCATTGGCATTCCTGCATGCAGCTGAGGGGATGGAACTAGATGGTCTTTGAGGGCCCTTCCAACCCAATCACTCCATGTTTTTATGATCTTCAACCCTTCCAACCCAATCACTCTATGATTCTGTGATTAGTAGGTTTGGGATTAGTAGTGTTTGGAATTTGCCTGAACATCTTTAGGATACACCTAGGACTTTTTCTGCCAAAAAAAAAAAATGAAAAGGAGTCATGGGAGAGGGCCTCAGGATAATTCAGGGTGTGCTTGCTCCACAAAGCTGTTAGCAAAGCAGAACTGACTTGCCCTGCCTTTCCAGGATCACAAAGACCAACCTTCGCTTTGACCCTGCATTTCCCAATGATGTCAACAAGTTGGAAGTCACTGGTGTCTCCTACTTGGGCAGCAAGCTGAAGTTCACCATCACCAAGGAGGAGATGAGGATTGCAGCAACCAAGTGTCCCCTTTACCCTCCCCTGGAGGCGGTGCTGGAGGAGTCTGGGCAGTGCTTTCCTCTGCATGAAGGTGCGACCTCTACCAGGGTTAACTCTGTGCACTGACCTTGAAGTTATCAAACAGCACTTCCTGCTCCATAGCTATGTAGGAAGTCTTTGCTTGAGCATGTTTCCTAAAAATTAAGATAATACAGAGAAAAGCCATTCCGGTGTCTCACATGTGTTGTTTTGATTCCAGGGCAGAGCATCTCCTTCCCCACAGCTGCTGGATGCATCCGGAGAGCGCCCAGCAAAGGACTTTGAACCTCATGGGTCCGGGCTTTACATGATGGGCATCAGACCCACCCGTACTGATGTGTGGACATCCTGCACCATCCCCGTATTGATATGAGTCTGCTGAGGCTGCCAAGAGAATGCTCTGCTCTGTTAATTGTGAGTGTGAGCATTGGTTCTGCTGCAGGACTCACAGCACTGGAAAGTGGGAGGAGCACAAACAAAGCTGAGTGCCTGAAAGTGAGTAATTTAGATGCATTTCCTAAACATCCCCCGTTTGTTTATTCTTGAAAATTCTCCATCTCTACAGCAGTCTCCAGATGCACAGAGCTGTTTTCAGTTCTGGATGCCCTGCTCCACGCCTCCTGCTCTCGAGTTTTACAGGGTTTTGGAGGCAGCGTGAACAACAAGGCTGAAGCTGGGTGTTATTCTGGCCCTGTAGGTTCAGGGATGCATTCGCCAGCCGTTCAAGCAAGGGGAAGGAAGGATGCTCCCTGCTCTGCTCTGTAAGCCAACTCCAGGAGTTTATAAAAAGCCCTGTGGCTGCTCAGCATGTGGAATCACTTAGGGGAGGCGACATGGCGGGTCCTCTGCCTTGTAATTAGAGCTAGCTCTTCATCAGGCCCTCATCAGTGGCTGCAGGGTGGGATGAACGTTCTCCTCTGTTCTCTCACCCTTTGGTAAGGGACCTATGGGATGCTTATTGAAGGAGAGGGGGATAAAATGCTGCTCATGGTCCCCTATGATGTCCATTCCATGTGGACGGCTGTTTTTGCCATTGGAGCAGTACTGCAAAGCATTGGGGAGATTCAAGCCGCGGCCATGCCATACGGGTGAGGATTTTTTCTGACCTTGGAGCCATGGGGAAATTCCTTCTGTAGTTAAACGGGATGTACTGCAGGACGCAGCATTCCTCCTGGCTCAGTCACCACAGGCAGATCCCCTCTGTCCTGACTTGGGGACCTAATCAGGGCTTGTGCTGTGCTGCAATGAGTTGGTCCACCTGGGAGGGGTCTGCTTGGCCCAATTGTTGCCTTTCTGATCCAAGAAGTGTCTCCCATCCCTACTGTTTCAGGCTGGCACACTCTAAAGCAATGTGGATTAAGGTTTCCAGCTATGAACTGGGACACTCTGAGTGTACAAAACACATTTGGTTGGACTAGATGATCTTGCTGGTCTTACAAACTTTAATGGTTCTGTGATTTTAAGAGCTGTATCATCTGTTAGCACAGTCCCTTCCCTGTGCATGCACGCATACACACACACGCACACAGAGCAGATTTGAGATGGGTGAAATGATTTAATGATTTAAATATTAAGCACCAAGGGAGAGATTAAAAAAAAAAACAACACTACCACCAACACCAAATAACCACACCAAATAACATAGCTGCCCCAAGAAGCATGGGGTTGTGCACGGCAGGGCTGGATCAGCAGCGCTGCAGAGAGGCTTTTGCCATCCTCTTGCCCACCGCTCACTTATCCTCATCATCGCTGGTGCTGAACTGGTTGCTGAAGAAGCCCACGGAGTCCTGGGCGAGCTTGGAGAGGTGGAGGACACCGGTGACCACCAGAGCAGTGAGCAGGATCGGCAGCAGCACGCTGCCAGCTGTGGCCAGCACGTTGTAGCAGCGGGCTTTGGAGCTGAAGCGCCGAGCAGCTTCCACATCTCCTGCCACCTTCCGGTCCCGTGCCTGCAAGAGCCGATACTGGGGGCAGCGGTGGATCCCCATGGGTACCCCTAGGCATCCTCCTAGTTTCCTCCAGCCTGTCTCTGGTCCCTCTGTCCAGCTGGAGGTGTTGCTTCTGGAGGACAGGTCTGAGTGGAGACACCTCCAGCATCATTTCAGGTTGGATGTTAGGAAAAGCTTTTCCAAAAGAGCAGTGAGGCAGTGGCACAGGCTGCCCAGGGAGGTGGGGGTGTCACCGTCCTGGGGATGTTTAAGGAACATGGAGATGTGGCACTGAGAGGTGCAGTCAGTGAGCACGGTGGGGTTGAGCTTGGGAATCTTAGAGGTCTTTTCTAACCTTAGTGATTCTATAACCCTGAACATCCCAACTTGGGGCCCAGCCATGCCTTACCTTGACAGAGAAGGCAAGAGCCACGAAGCCGAGGCAGCAGAAGTTCATGTAGATGGTGTTGAAGATGGACCAGATGAGGTGGTCACGGGGTGGTGCAGAGGTGACAGTGGTGGGAGATGAGTCCCGCTTGTGGGATGTCACGGGCAGGTAGTCCTCCCGTGGGTAGGATGTGTCCATGGCCACAGAGAGGGGCACCCCGCAGCTCTCCGGCTCCACCAGCCTGGCTGCAGGAGTGGGGCTGAGCAGACCCTTTTATATCGTCCTTGTCTCCAGCCCAGCCTTAGCTCCTCTATATATAAATCAGAGAAATTACAGCCCTTGCCAAGCTGTGGTTGTCAGAAATGCTTGGCTGGAAGCTAGGAGAAACAAAGTTGGTTTCGTGAGCCTGCCTTCCTTCTGCACCAGGGGCACGGGTGGCTCCAGCCCTGCTGTGGGACAGGGTGGGAACCAAGTGGCTGTTACTCCCAAGGACACAACACAAGACAGTATGAAACAGCTCAAGGTGCTGGTGCCTCCACCAAGCCCTTCAGGTTGTGTTGTTAGGAAATCCCTCACACAGAAGTGTGGTCAGGATGCTAGAAAAGTGTGAACTGAACTTGGCTGGAGCTTCCCCTGTGCCAAAGCTGCAGTCATTGAGGATGCGTTTGTGTCATCATGTGCCTTTCAATGCTGCTCAGAGCAATTGCTTCAATAAGGGAATATCCCTGTTGCTACACAGCCTGAGGTAAAGGAACCAAGTGCCCTTAAAAACTCCACGTTTTTCTTTCCCCCAGCCTCACAAGAATGGAACAAACAGGAATTTAATGCTAAAATGCGTAAGAGTTACTTCTAGTAAAGCACTTCATGGTTCCCTGGAAGGAGATGGGACTTTGCAGGAAGATGGGGTGTTTATGGCCAGAAAAGCATGGAAATTTGCTGTTTCCTTCTTCTGCTATGCTGGAATCTATAGGACAAAATGTGGCTCGTGCTGGAGATGCCTGGCAAGGCAGTGGGGGTGGAGGAGGAGGAGGATGCCATGAAGGTACTCCAGGTCACTCTCCTCCATCCATGCTGTGAATAATGCAACAGGAGCAGGGCTTGGTGAGCAGGAGCTTTATTTGTGGTGATGGCAATCCATGCATACGCTGTAGCTTGGTTAAATACCAGCATGGCCTAGGAGAAGTAGAGAAAGGAGCTTCCCACCCATCCCTGCCATGCCACATGCAGCGAGGGGACAGGGCTCTGCAACCCTTTCTCAAAGCAGAAATTCCTTGGGACACATTTTTGGTGGGGAGTTATGGGGGTGAGCACAGCACAGGACAGTGGGTTGGTGGCAGAATTTTTATATCTGTCTGCTGCTCTTGGTGAGGAGCACGATGGCAATGGTAATAGTGGACAACACACCGATGGCTATCAGCACAGAGAAAATGATGTTCAGAACCTTGGCACGGGTTCCGTACCGCCGGGCGCCTTCCAGGTCCCCCAGCACTTTGCAGTCACGAGCCTAGGGAGACAAATAGGGATTCAGTGGGGAAGACCCAACTTCAGGATGGGAATAGGGAAGGTGGGGGACCCAGCCTGGCTTCATGGGGCTGTCAGGTAGAGCTGGGACACTGTGGGTGCTTTAGTGGGACCTTGTGGGAAGCAGGGGTTAAAGATGCCCATGTGCTCCCACACAGTTCCACATTTTGGGGTTGGAAGGCTCAGAGGGGTGCAAACTGAGAGGGTGTCAGGGAAGGCAATTGGGGTCACCAAATTGGATAGTCCCAAATCAGGGAGTAGTCATGTTATGTTGAATGGCAGTTCTGGGTCAGCAGGGATGCACTAGGTTAGAGTAGGGGCTACTGTGAATTGGGTGGGACAGGGGACGGTGTTTTCAATTTGGGCAGCATTAGATTAGATTGGGGTCAGAGGATAACGTTATGTTGGGATGGGTTGGGAGCACAGTGGATTGAGTGGATCACGGGATGGGGGGTAAGGTTGGGAAGCACTGGATTGGGGTTCTTGGGGTTGGAAGATCATGTTGCGCTCAGATAGGTAGGGAAGCATCATAGATTCAGTGAGTTATGGGTTGGGGGACCCACGTCTGCATGTTGGGTTAGATGGGTCAAGTTGGGCAGCACCAGGTAGGAGTGCCCAAAATTGGGAATCATGTTCTGTTGGGATGCATTGGGGAGCATTGTGGACAGAGGGTAGACCCCAGTAGACAGGAGAAAATCCCAAATAAGAGAGTTGGGGTGGATGTAGTAATGTTGGGGGCCACCAAATCATAAGGCATCAAATGGAAGTGGAGGGTGTGGTTTGGGGGGAGATCAGCTTGGGGGACCCCGAGTCGAGGGATCCCAGGATGGGTTGGCAAGGAGGTACCGGGTCAGGGGTGGGGGATTGGGGGATCTCACCTTGATGGAGAAGATGAGCGAGGGGAAGCAGAAGCAGCCGAGGTAGGCTAGAGCGAAGCCTGCCAGGACGTTGAAAAGAGACCACAGGACGAAGTCGCGGGGCTGCTCTTGGGGGACGCTGGAGAGGGGCGGTCCCCGCCCGGGTGGGTGCAGCGGGATGCTCACCTCCGGCTGTTGCGGCTTCATGGCCGGGAGCGGAGCGAGGATGGGAGGGAGATGGGAAGCTCTGCGGAAAATGAAACCTAGCCCCGCACCGCCCCTGCGCCGGCCCCCGGCTTCCCAGAACTCAGGCAGAGCAGTCAGCCCTCGATGGGCTCGGCGCCTCGTCCCCCTCCTCTCAGTCCCCGGGTGTGGGGGCACTGACCGCGTGGGCGCAGGGAGCAAAAGGGGGGGGGGGGGGGAAGGAAAACGGCTTCTGAGGAACTGGAAAACTGCCAAAGGGAGGAGGAGCAGAGGAGTAAAGGAAGAGCCGGACCCTACTGTTGCCCCTTGTAGAGAGACTGTGGCTATCTGCACGGGATGACAGAAACGAATCTGGGTTTGGTGGCTCTGAGCGCCCCTAGGAGCCGCAGGAAGGCAAATTACTGAACAGCACAGACACATCACTTCTTGCCCAAGCACCCTGTCTCAGCTTTGGGGCAGCCCCAACTTCCTGAACCCTAAAACCAAAATATTACCAGACAGAAGTAGAACGAGGAAGAAGCTTTATTTGTCTTGAGCTCACCCCAAGGGTCATCTCGAACAGTCACCTCAGTGGGGGTGGCACCACTGGGCGAGCAGGGATAGAGGGGAGGAGGAGTGGGACCCCAGCACTGCTCCTCTTCATCAGGCCAGATCAGGGCTGCACAATGTAGAGTGGAAGGTAGAGAAACACCAGGATGATGGAGAGGATGGTCACGAAGAGTCCCACACAGAGCGCAGTGATGTTAAGGATCTTGGCTGTCCTTCCATAGCTGGTGGCACCAACAAAGTCCTTGGCAATTATCCTATCTCTGGACTGCAGAGGGAGAGGAGGGAGTTGATGAAACCCAAAACATCAAAGGTTCTGTCCATCATCATCACCCGACCACCCTCATTGGCATACATAGGGTGTCAGACCCTCAGGAAGCCAACCCTGATGGGAAACATAGCTCACAGCAGCCTAACAGCAATTCCTTAATGGCTAATTAAAAGTCAGCAGTCTTGTGCTGCTAGCTCCTCCTGTTGTATGTAGAGAGCTGTGAGGAAGGCCAGGGATATCCTAACATGCCTATGTGGCGCTTCTTGGGGCACTGGCAGCTGCTGACCTTTCCTCCCAGAGTGCTTGTTAAGGATGATTAGCTTTAAAGGTAATAAAGGGAAGGTACACGGGGAGCAGCTGCTCCTTACTGGAAGTAGGGTGGGTGGAAGGACGGAGGGAGGGAGTGGGAGCAGGAGCTGAATGTGCAGTTTCATGGAGGTGCCAGCTGGTTTGGGACTGACTTAAGGATAATTTAGAGGAGCCAAAACCATTGTGCCTACTGGGAGCCCCTCTTCTGTGGGCCTTGGAGATGGCAAAGCACTCAAAGGTGGCAGATTGTCCTCCAAAGGTGGGTGTCAGGGAAGTTAGATATGAGGCACTGTGATAGGGATGGATGTGGTAGGAGAAAGCAAGGTAGTGATGAGGTCTGGGGCAATGTGGAACAGGATGAGAGAAGGGATGGGGGAAGGTGGGATACTATGGGATGAGACCAGATGGGATTGAGATGAAGAAAGGTGGGATAGGACAGATGGGGTTGGAAGGGATAGAGGAAAGTGAGACATGGTGGGACAAGATGGGATGGGACTGGGATGGGATGACGAAAGGTAAGGTAGGGCAGGCGGGATGGGATTGGAAATGTGTGAGGGAAGGTGAGACATGATGGGACAAAACAGGGGAAGCTGGGACAATATAAGATGGTAAAGGGATTGGACAAGGAAAGACGGGACATAATGGAACGCATTGGGATGGGATCGGGGTGGGGAAAGTTGAGACATGATGCAACAAAAAGGGATGGGATTTGGGAGCCGTAGCATGGAGGGCAGACCTCAAAGCTAAGCAGGGAGGTGCTGGGTTGATTTTTGCCTTACCTTGATGGAGTATGAGAGTGCACAGAAGCCGAGGCAGAAGGCGTTGCACAGCACGAAGTTAAAGAGGGACCAGAGTACAAAATCCTTGGGGGGTGGCTGTGGTGAGATGGGAACAGTGGTGATGACATTCTGCCCGTAGGGCGGCATGTCAATGCTGGTGTGCTGCGGGTAGCTCTGCATGGTGCTAGAAGGCAGCTGCAGTGCCTGTGCCCTTACAGCCTCACCTATTATAGGTGAGCAGAAGGGTTTGCTGGGGTGGGGACACCCCGCCCGGCACCGGGGCGTGGGCAGTTCTCATCCTACCAGGGACAAACTCCCTTTGGAGATGTTGGAAACTGGTTTATGCCCACGATGCCAGTGTGGGCATGGTGATCTGAAAGCTGTGGTGTAAAGGATGGCATGATGGCGCAAGACAAAGTCCCTTGGGGCAGGTGTCTGGGGGGGGTGTGGGGTGCACTTGACCCCTGGGGCACATGGGATGAAGGCAGCTGTGGGTTTTGAGGCCCACTCAGACAAGGGCTTGTGCCTGGAGCAGCAGCTGCCCACTGTGAAGACCACCTGCGTGCAAACCCAAGTGCTCCCCAGTACTGCTCATACCAAAGCTATCAGCTCTTTTTCTGGCATGCTCTCAAGTTAATGAGGTTCATTAGGTCACAGTGGTAATTAAGTGGAGAGGCTGGAAGGGAGGGGAAAGGGTGCGAATAGAGGAGGGGATTGCGGAGCTGGCTTTGTGCTCAAACTCCAGCAGCAACCCACAGCTGTGCCCCCAAAAAGCTGCAGGTGTCCTTCTCGCTGTAAGTGGGGTTGATTGCTGTCTTATCTTAATGAGCTTGGTGTGAACAACCTGCTGGCATCACCACCCCTCTGTGCATTTTCCTCTATTTGCTTTTGCATCCAAACAAATGATGGGATGGGAATACATTGAGGCGACAAAGTCCTGGGGGTGTGGGCAGAGTTAAGGGGCTGAGCAGCAGAGGGTTTGGGTGAGAAACAAAGGTGCAGGGGTGGCTTTCCTTGCAAGGGGGGAAAGAGTCTGCAAAGTGAGGTTGGGGTCTGCTGGAAGTCTTCTGGGGTGGGTTATGCGGGGAGCTGAGCCTGCTGCCTGCTCCCTTCTTGCCTTTGCCGTTAGGGCAGGGAGTTCAAGGCTCGTTGGCCACCTGCCAGCAGCCTGGAGCAATTCCTGCAGGAGGAGGAACGATTTGCCCCCCGTGTCCTTCGAGCACCCCTGCTCTGCCCATGCATCCCCCTTGTGCCCCCATCTGCCTGCTGGTGCCCAGCCCCAGGGAGAGTCCATGCATGGAAAATCCCTATGGTGCCCATTGGGGCTGGGGATGTGCTCCCCAGGGGATGTTGGGATGACAGGATGTCACATTTTTGGCTGTGGAATGTACTGGGTTTTGCATGTGACAACTGATCAGGGAGATGCATTTTAAAAAATGATTTTGGGGGGGATTTCAGATAAATCCTGGTGGGGCCAGTGGGGATGGAGTGAGAGGAGACGAGTGCTCAGGGAGGGCACAATCCAGCACATGTCTGTTTGCTTTTACGGGAAGAAGAGTAGGAATCAATGATTCACCCAGCCGAGGCTGCCAGGGATCCTGCAACAAATGGCTGTTGTGTTTTGCAAGGAGGACGTCCTGCTCATGAGCGCAGCTTCTTGGCAGGAGTCATTGTTCTTCGAGGGGAAATAAAGAAAAAGGCTTTCTCCATCCAGCTCTGTGGGGCCCCAGCCCTTACAGAGCTGGGGAGCAGGAAGCCAGGCCAAGCACATAGCTGAACCCCCGCCAGGTCAGCTCTGTCCGGGAGTATTGGTCGGGTCTTGGGGCCTTTCCAGGGTCATTTTGGACGTGGCTGGAGCTGTAGGCGTGATTTCTGCCTTACCCCAAAGCTGGGATGGGAGTGGTGTTGTGATATTGAAAAGCTCCAGGGAGGAGGGAAGAGGTATCGTCATCTCACTTTCCCTTCAAAGCATTTCAGGGAAGCACAGCATCACTGGAGTTTGGAACAGGGTCATCCCACCCACAGTTTCCTCATCTCCAAATGAAGCCCACTCATGCATACTACCAGAGATAGGGTAGGGGATGCTTCACCCCTATTCCCTTGTCATTGCTGTGGTCCACTTTGTCCAAACCTGTGAACTGGATTCACCCAGCTGGGTCCTGTCACATCTTGGAGCTTAGGGACATGGTTAGTGAGCATGGTGGTGATGGGTTGATGGTTGAATGAGATGATCTTTGAAGTCTTTTCCAACCTTAACCATTCTGTAATCCCTGTCATGCTCCAGAGGGTGACAAAGGGGACAATTGTTCAATAGCATCGCTATGGAGGCTCTCCTACTCCCACCCCCATCCTCTAAAAAAGAAGAGCCATGAGACAAAAGTGAAAGATACCTTTATTGTGCTTTTTTTTTTTTCCTTTCTTTCCAAACTGATGAGGTGCTTCCCTAAGGGCTTTTACAGGCACTCAGAGCAATAGCAAAAAGGCAGAGTGAGGTGGCAAGCAGCAAAGTCTGGGAGCTCCCATTCCTACAGCCAGTTTTTGTCGGTTCCCGCCAGAGCAAAGCGAGTCTTGAGGAGCTTTTTCATACGGTGACTGGAGAGGGGGTTGGAAGAAGCAAGGAAAGCATAGCCCCAAGCGAAGCTCTGCACATGGACTAAGTGACTAAGTGGGTCCAATGAATTCGGGGTGTTGCTGGTGGTGGTTGACGATGTTGGCCACCACAATGGTGCCGCTGGCAACCAGGGCGATGACGAGGATGATGAGGAAGATGTTGATCAGATGGGCCGTGATGTTCAGGTACTTGGCAGTGGAACCATAACTCAGCGCCCCGCTGTAGTCACCCAGGACTTTGCGATCTCTGGACTGGGGAGACCAACAGGAGAGTCAATGGGGCTGGGTAGGAGAGGTTCCCTGGCATGGGGCTCCCTCTGGTGATGATGGGCCTGTGGGTTCCATGAGACACCCCAGAGTCAGGGTTTCTTGGGAGATGTATGGGTTTCACCAGGGTCAGGGGCTCGACGGAGTTCATAGGGTACCTCCCAGTAGGGGCTTTTGGAGATCTGTGGGGTCCACGTGGTACCCTGAGATTGGAGGTTTTGAGGGCACCATGAGTCTGTTCAAGGGTCCCTGGGTCTTTCTGGGGTCCACGGGGCAACCTGGCAGCAGAGATCTGGGGGCTCCATGGATCTTTTTGAGGCCCGGGGCTCTGTAGGGTCCACGGAGCACCCACGGCTGGGACTTTTGGTGCTCCACGGTTCTGTTTGGGATCGGGGAGCTCTGTGAGCCCCACGGGAATCCTCCATGACCGTCCCCCGCCCTTCCCCCCCATTCCTCTCCAGATGCCACCACTTCCCCATCCCCCGTCCCCCCCCTTTCCCATTCCCCAACCTTCACGGAGAAGACGAGCGCCAGGAAGCCGAGGCAGCAGACGTTGGCATACAGCGTGGTGCACAGCGACCAGGCCAAGTGGTCGCGGGGAGGAGGCACCTGGGGGCTCTCCACCGTCACGACTGTGCTGCGGGTCTTCCCCTCCATGTCCAGCCCGTCCATCAGGGGCTCGTACGGTGGAATCGCCGGACCCGGAGTGCGGACCCGCTCCATGCTGGGGCTCGGGGGCTATGAGGCTCGGGGGCGGCGCCCGGAGGGGAGGATGGAGAGAGCTAGTTTCGTTTCCTTGCAGCCCGGTGATGAGGAGGGCTGAGCGAGGGGGAGGGAAAAAAGGGCCGCCCGCCCCCTGCGAACGCCAGGCGCCAGCCCCGAAGGTGTCCCCTACCCGGCGTCCACAGGTCGGGCTGTGGGGTGCGGGGCTGGTAGAGAAGTAGTGAGGTAGGGGCGTCAGAGAGGTAAAGCCTTAACCGTGTCCCCAGCGTGTGTCAATGGGATTCCCGTGGCTAGTGGTGAGCCTGGATGTTTGGTGAAGAAACCCTATATCACATCTCCACCATAGGGCACTGGGATCCCTGCCCCTGAAGTTGACGGACGGTTGATGGAGAAATCCTAAATTGTGTTCCTGTCAAGAGGCAATAGGGCTCCCATCGCTGTGATCAAGCCTGGGTGCTTGGTGGAAGAACTCTACATTCTGTCCTTTTGACTCCATCATGTAGTACTGGGAGCCCTGAAGTTGGGCTCAATGTTTGGTGGAAACCCTACATCATGTCCCCACCACACGGCAGCCCATGGGAGTCCATGGACTGGGAGCCCAACCCCTATGGTTTTCTCTAGGCACTTGATGGAGAAAACCCACATCATGGCCCTCACACCATGGTGTTGGGACTCCTTTCCCCCCCATGTTCCTCATGCTCTCTCCTAAGGCTGTCCCAAAAGGCACTGGAGGCCAAAGCTCAGCCCTACATCCAGCTCTGGGGATGTGCTGGGGGGAGGCCGTAGGGTGCTGCTCCCTGGGCACAACAACATGAATTCCCCTAATGTCCAGTTAGATTCCACAGCCGGTGGAACAGCTATACGAGCTGCGCTGCATAGTTATCTAAATTGCACCTAATTATGAGGCAATTAACCTTCTGCACCCGCCTGTGAGCACGGGGACGTGAATCCTGGAGCACGGGTGCCCTCTAGTTTCCCCAGCTGCAGTTGTCTTTTTCTTTTTTTTTTTTTTTTTTTTCCCTCTCATCGCTGAATTCTTCCTGTTTTCGTTTCCAGTCCCGCATTGCAGCGAGGACGAGAAAAAATTTCACTTGCTCTGAAAAGGCTGGGCAGCAGGGGTGCAGTGAGTTGTGGGAGGTCTCAGCCTGGCTGAGCTGTGGGATGGGAATGGAGATGTGATGGGGAAGGGATGGGGATTGGGATGGGATGAAATAGAGATTAGGTTGGCAATGAGATAGGGAAGGGAAAATCTGGAGATAAGATGGGTTGGCATTGGTACAGGACGGGGGTAGAAACGAGGATGGTGATAGAATTGGGATGGGACGGGGCTGGGAAGGGAATGGAGATGAGATAGGAAGAGGATGGAGAGAGAAAAGGAACGGATCCCAGCTCGCACCGCGGCCGCTCCCCGCTCCCCGGCCGGGCCCCGCAGCCCCTCTGCGCGGCACGCAGGGATGTACCAAACCCGCGCCGGGGGGCGATGGGCTACAAGCCGGTCCGCGCCCCTCGTGTCACCCGACCCGCCGCCGCCCTCGGCCACAGACAGCTCCGTCCCTCCCACCGCCTCACACCGCCGCTCCCACACACAGCAGGGACCGCGCCGAGGCCGATCCCCCCGCCGCCCCTATGGCCCGGCCCGCGGCTACCGGCCCGTTGGCGTGGCGACGCGCGGAGCCCCCTCCGGTCCCGCCCCCACAGCACTCCTATTGGTCGAAGCTCGTCCCGGCGGGTGGCTATTGGTCGACGCCCCCGTCGCTCGGCCCGGGCGGCGCCGCGCCCCCTCCCTCCGCTCCCGCCGCTGCCGTTCCATTCATTCGCCGCCCGGCCGTGTCCGCTGCCGGCGCGACGGGGCGGCGGCGATGCACCAGGCAGCCGCGAGCTGCCGCCGCCGCCCCCCCGCTGCCGGCCCGTAGCGGCGGGCGGCCGGGGGAGGGGGGCCCGATGGGCCGGGGCTAGGCCGGCGGCGGGCCGCGGCGGCGGCGGCGGCAGGCGGTGATGCCGCGGCTCCCGGTGAAGAAGATCCGCAAGCAGCTGAAGCTGCTGCTGCTGCTGGCGCTACTCACCTCTGCCGCGTGGTTCACGTACCTGCACATCAGCCTGGTGCGCCAGGGCCGCGCCCTCCGCCTGCCCTTCACCTACGGCAGAGGTAAGCCCCCCTCCCCTGGAGTTCGGGATCACCCTCGGAGCTCGCTCCATCCCTCGGTGGGGTCACCTCGGGGCGTGGGGCGGGCTGCGCGTTGGGCTTGGGGGTTAGAAGCCATTTCTCATCGGTCCACACCCTGATGGGAAGGATGAAAGAGGGGTTGGCGGTTGAATTGGGTGGCTTTGAAGGGAGTGAGGGCGATCTGGGAGCCGGCCACATCTCGTGAGTGCGGAACCTGAAGTCGGCACAGCAGTGTGAGCCTGCAGATTTTGGGCCTCGTGGTGCAGCGGGTGCCATGGGGCTGGTGCCAAGGAGGGATATGGGGAATGGGATTCAGTCCGAGGAGCTCTGCTTGTGTTCTTCACTGAAGATCATTGGGAAGCCTTTGTTTTTGGGGAGCAGAGAGGGAAATTGTGCTTGGAGGGAGGATGTGCTGGGTGAGGACTGTGCTCCAGAGTTTGGGATCTCTCCATTCAGTGGTATAAAAGATACTCGGAGACGTGGCTATGTGTCCTGGTCCCAAGTCCCGTAGGGATGGGGTGACGTTGTCTACAGTGAGAGGTGGATGGAGGCTGTCTGTGCAAGAGAACACAAAGGGTGTCCAAGACCTCATGCCCTGCTGTGAAGGATGCTGCCTGCCTTGCGTCAGCTACCAGAGGATGCTCAGAAAGATTAATTACTCATTAAATAGAGCAGCACTGAGCTGATGTGTCTTCAGCCTCCAGAAAGCACCGGGTGTGAGTTCCTGACAGGAAGTAAGGTGGGGGGCCAGGCCAAAAGGTGTGCGCTTGAGGGTATTTGGGGTGTTTTTGGGTATATGTGTCCCTATGGTGTCCTTGTGGCCTGGATGCTGCTCACGTGGGGAGTGCGGTCAGTGACTCGGCTGGGAAGCATGCTGGCATTCTGTCCCTGATAAAATGCTCCCCCTTCCCTTATCTTCTACAAGTAGATAATTACCCTTCTCTGCCTAATTTAACATGCAGGTTCCTCGTCTGAAATAATGAGGCCATTATGGTGTTCTCCCAGCTGGAAACTGTGCTGAGTCAATGGGGTGGAAATCCTTTCATGCCAGGTGGGAAGGGAAAAAAAAGAAAGAAAAAGGAGGAAGAACGGGAGGAAAAAAATGATAGCAATGATGTAAAATGGCTCTTAGCAGAGTGCTGGCTGGCCCTGTCACCTGGAGCAGTGACTGAACACATGTGGCTGTTGCCAGTGCTGATGGATGGGCTGGGATGTAGGTTTGGGGAGAGCTTTGGTGGCACCTGCAAGGGTGAGATGCTGGTGTGTGCCTTGGGGAATATCTCTTGGTGCTGCTGACAGGCAGAGTGACACAGTGGGCTCTCCAAAGTAATGTGAGCAGGGGCGCAGCGCTGGCTTGTAGGGCACCGAGATAATAAATTGCATTGTGGTTGGATTGGAAAGGATCTTCAATCCCATCCAGTTCCAACCCCTCTCCATGGGTGGGCCACCTCCTGTTGACCAGGTTGCCCAGTGCCCCATCCAACCTCGAGCATCTCCAGGGATGGGGAACCCACAGCTCCTTTGGGGAGCTGTGCAGGGGGAGTTGCCAACACCTCAATATCTTCCTCTGGGACTTCCTCCAGGGTGCTGGGAGCACCATGCCCATCCCTCCCCTGATGGCTTTGGGACTACAAATGGCACCCCTAGCACATCTTACGGACTGATGTGCTGCAACACTGGGTGCATTTATTCCTTTCTTTAGAGGTGCAGGTAGGGGAGAGGATTAGACAAGAACCCTTTGAAAAGCTTTGGTGGCCCATGCAGAGGGGCAGTGGTGCCATCCATGGGCTGCTCGGTTTCCCCTTCAGCCTCTCTCTGAGAGAGCCCTCGTCCCTATTGCCTTGAATCAGCTCTTTGTGAGCACTCCCACCCTGCCAAGAGCTGCTGGGAGGGGAGGAGGAGGCAGGCAGACAAGCGAGCCCTGTCCTTGGGCAGCCAGGGCTGTCTCAGGGCTATGGAGCTGGGGAACAAAGTGGCACGGAGCTGGGAAACGTGGCAGCACAGGTCCAAGCAGTGGGGCTGGAATGGCAGCAAGGCTGGATAATTGAATGAATGCATTACACTTCATTTATCCGTTTGCTTCCCCCATTATGATGTCTGGAGGGGCTGAGAGCTTGTGTTTATGACTGGTGGGTTTCAGCAATCCCATCTCCGCGATGGGTGATGCTCACCCCTGGGCTTGTCCCTGAGGGAAGTCACCATGTCTCCAGCTGCGTGGTGGCACTCAGTCCTCTTTGAGCCATCAAAGATACTGTGGCCAGGAGCTCAGCTGCCCCTTTTTCAGCGCCTGTTGCCTTGGCAATGGCAGAACGGAAGGGATTTGGGCTGGACAAGGAGATTGATGGGAGCTGGCTGCTGACCGATGACTGCGACATGAAGGGAGGTGTGGGGCGGGGGTTGTGGGGGGGTGCATATGTTCCCCTCATCACCTCCTTATGAGAGGCTCTGCTGGATTGGATGCTAAATTTAAATTAAAAGCAAAGGATCAAAACACCCAAGACTGGTGGAAACGGGGTGCTTTGGAGGACCAGCATGGTTAGACCACAGGGCTTGGTGTTGGCATCTTTGGCTGGTTTCTTTTTCATGTCCCCCATCTTTCCCATATGGGTTGAGCTGCTGCTTCCCAGAGAACCTATTGACCAAGAGGATCAGCCTGGAAAGATCCAGCCCTGAAGGCACCTTGATGATTTTGGTAATCAGCACAGCCCAATGTACTGATGTTTTGAGGATGGATAGAGAAGGGGCTGATGGTGACTGAGTTGAGGAAGACATGTCTTGCTTTGGCATCTCCCTTTCTGCAGGGTGTTTTTGCTGCAGGATTGGGACGATAAGAGCAGATGCTCCCCTGTGGGGAGATCTGTCAGTCAGGAGTACTAGGCTACATCTGCCTGTTCCCATTTGCCTTGCTCTGGATGTGGGTCACTCATGGGGTG